TGAGCCACAAACAGACTGGATAGACACAAGTTGTGTAGATGGAACAGCTGCCATCTTAATGACTACCATTCTGAGCGCTGGGACAGAGCTGTAGATTCAATGATGTCTCACTCTGTAACAGCTATTTGAGATGGTGGGGGGAGTGGGGGGTAAACTCACAAAATAAGTGATGCATGAAGGACAGTTCTTTTCAAGCAAAAGCAGGCTCACATGACTCAGAGACGTCACACCATTACTGTTCTCAGTTTAGCATCGTATACTGTAAGGAGCTGTTAGTGCTATAGTTCCAATATAAAGCCTGATTTATACCTCCTAAACAATATCAAAATGAAGTTTAATTCAAAAAAATTAATTTGATTAGAAGATGTATATTAAAGTCACTGTATGTATGAACTGCATTTTTAATGTATTTTAAATTAATAGATAGGAGAGAAAAATTTAGCCTCCCTGCTTCCACTATTCTGGGAAGGTTTTCCGCTAGATGTTGAAACACAGCTGCGGGGATTTACTGTCATTTCCTAAGTTATACTATAATGAGTTGTACTTCTGTATGTGTTTCTTTCTTCTGTTGAACACTAATGATGATATTCTGAAGAATTTTGGTAACCAAACAGTAGACGGTAGCCATTGACTTCCATTGTATTTTTTCCATTCTATGGAAGTCAATGGCTACCGTCAACTGTTTGCTTACCAACATTCTTCAAAATATCTTCCTTTGAGCTCAACAGAAAAAAGAAACTCATACAGGTTTGAAACAACTTGAGGGTGAGTAAATGATGACAGAATTTCATTTTGGGTAAAATATCCCTTTAAGCAAGACAAATGCATACAGTATACTACTAGAACTCATAAACCATAAACTATGGGAAGCGTTATACTGTATTCCTTCTAAATAAATACACTTATATGAATTTGAATTACTGGGGTTCCTTTATTTATGCTGTCTTTTCTTTCTCTCGCCTTTCCCTTCTTCTCTATTGCTATCGTCCTCATAGGTACTGCATTCATAAATGACTAATGAGGGAGTAGGGATCCTGTTTTGCAACAGCGTTTGACAACACACCTACTCGGACGTTTCGGACACGGCCTACCTTCAAACAGCTCAGCAGGAGGACACTGCTCTGCCAGGATGGGATGCCAAGATGTGCCTCCAACTAAACACTGACACAGACATGACTAAAAGATTAACTATAAGCAGGCTACAGGGGTGCTGATGCTAGCAGGCATAAATCTGAGATAACAGATCACACTAGCAGGTGTGAGACAGAACTAGGGGAGATCAGAAAAATGCACATCGAAGGAAGACCAAAGTAGACGATTATAGTTCACAGGTGCAGCATCAGAAGACATAAGCAATGGAGCCCAATGCATACGTGCTGCTGTATTATATGATTTGCTGTTTTATATTTGAATATATTTGCTAATTTATTCCTGTGATGCAAAGCTGAATTTTCAGCATCATTACTCCAGTCTTCAGTGTCACATGATCCTTCAGAAATCATGCTAATATTCTGATTTCCTGCTCAGAAAACTTTTCTTATTATCAATGTTGAAAACAGTTTTGCTGCTTAATATTTTTGTGGAAACCACGATACACTTCCATTCAAAAGTTTGGACTAAAATAAAATGTAAAAAAAAAAAAGTAAGTGCATTCATATTTTATAAAGTTATAAAATTTAAAATAAATGCCTTTCTTTTAAAATTTTTTCATCAAAGAACAATGAAAAAAGTATCACGATTTCCACAAAAAAATAAATAAATAATAAGAACCAGTGTTAATGACTAAGTATCAATAATAAATGATAATAACTGAACCCCCCAAAAATTTATGAGCAAAACATTTTATATTTACAGATCAGTTCTTAACCAGCACTAGAGCATATTAATGAGGAATGACATTTATGGCACAGGTGTTTTTGGTTCAGAAACTGCAGTGTTTGGTAACAAGAACATAAGTGATATGTTGTGCTGTTCATGTGAGTAATACATGTCTCTTTGATGGCAGCTATGGTCCATCAGTGCTGTGACAAACCAGCACTTGTAAACATGCTGCTGCTCAAGCATTAATCCAATCATGTTTTTTAAATAAAATTCAGCTATTACAAGAATGTAATATCTGCCAGTTCCAGAGAGCAGCACTTCTTCATATCCACTCTTCAGATATGACAGACCCTCGAAGAAAAGTCTTCAATAGTTATGTTGTGTTACACACAAAAATACATGCCACAAACTGACTTACAATGTCTTGTTCAACACTGTTTCTTGACGCTGTCATAATCCGGTCCTTCAGGAAATTGCTTTTCCATGGCTACACACACAAGACCCTCATCTTAAGATCAACATCACAAGCGATATCAACTTCACTATCCAGGAAATTACATTTTTACCCCTTAAGGACCAACACACAGACACATAGACTATACAGAGTAGACACATACAAATGGTGGATTAGAAAAACCCCAAAATATAGTAATACCAAGAGATAAAAAGAAGCAGAAATGTGCCCTCTGACTCGGGAAAGCTCCAGTGCTTTCTGGCATTCTATTATAAACCAAAATATGAACACTGTGTATCTGAATACTGCACTATTCTAGATGAAAAAACCTCTGAAGGACTCGAAACTGGGTTATTATTGTTACCTAAAACTAAAACATTTTCGTTATTAGAAACAAAATGAACGGTAATAAAAACAAAATAATAATTAAAAAAAAAGTAAACTTGTTTCTTGTAGTTGCCAAAGCAACATTTCTCATTTTTGGTTTAGATTTTCTTAAAAGTACTAAAGTAACTAAAACTAAATCAACACAAACTAATAACTAAAAAAAATAATAAAAACTCAACTCAATAACTTAAAATCATAATGTAAAAAAAAAACTCATGAAAATGACAAAACATACAACAAAATTAATAAAAATGTCACTAAAATAAAGTGAAAAGATAAAGTATAAAAATAAAATGTATTTCAAAATATTAACAAAAATAACAGTAGTGCATCAATGTACAGTACATCAAATTTAAACCTAATATTACTCAATAAAATGCAGATACATTATCTGACAAGGTACAATACGGCTGCTCATACCACTACAGATCCATTCTAAACACATGGAAAGAGACATCTGTAAAGGATTAACTTGTCTGCATACAGGATTCAAGAAGGAGCACATCTCATCTCAGCTCAGTCACTATTCATGGTATTTAAGATGTTAAATCATTTTGTGCTTTAGCACAGACTCTTTGCCTGTTAAAAGTCATATATTAAAGTACTATCTGCAAAACCTTCTTATTGCTAACAGGTACTCAGGATCCACAATGAGCTTATGGCCAATGGAGAGTGAACTCAGATAATTTACTGGCTACAAATTATTATTGCAGGCTAAAAAAAGTGTACTTTGCTTTTTTTTTTTGGACAGAAAAAAATAATACATTAACACTGCCATTACCATTCAAAAGTCTTTGTGTAGCCAGTCCTTCAAACTGACGGCAGCAGGTCTGGGAACCATGGCCGCTTTGAATGGTCAAGGACCGCCCAAGTGGCCATATGACTCATGTTTTGTTTTGTGCCACATCATGTTTAGGGGTAATGGAAATGTCCCCAGAATAACAGACCGGTGTGTAAAACTCTTGGAAGTATTTTAAAGAGTCTATGCCGTGAACTTTGCATATTTCACATACTTTTGAAAACCTAGCATTTAGTTGATCCTGATAAACGCTCTTTGTTACAGCTGTAAACACAACGGCTTTCTTCTTTCATGAGAGGGTTTGGCATCACGGCATCTTTGTTTCTAGGCAGAACATTAAAGAACGCGACACACACGTCTCCTGAAAATCCTGTAGAATTCAACCAATCAGATGACGACTTAGAAACCCCTGAAGCATGTCCAATATTGTGTGCCATATGCATCAGACGTTCAGCCAACGGTCCGTGGGTGTGACGTCTGAGACTGAGATTAGGGATAAGTAAGACGTTTTCATTTTTTTTAAAGAATACTATGCTCACCAACTCTGTTTTTATTTGATCAAAAATATAGTAAAACTGTAAAATTATGAAATATTATTAGAGTTTAAAATAGAAAATATTTTAAAATATAATTTATTCCAGATTTGGTGCTCAATAAATATTTACTATTATAATCAGTTGAAAAAAGTTGTGCTGCATAATATTTATTGTGGAAATCATGATAAAAAAATTTTCTGGATACTTTGATGAAAAGAAAGTTCAAAAGAACAGCATTATTTGAAACATTATAAATGCCTTTACTGTCACTTTTGAGAAATATAATGCGTCCCTGATGATTTTTTAATTCATTAGTATTATTAATTTAGAAAAGTATTAATTTCTTTCACCACCACAATCTTAATGACCACAAAAAAAAAATCTTAATGACCACAAACTTTAGAATGGTAGATTTTTTTCGTATGACAAAAAAAGAAGCTTTTCCATGCATATTTCTGAGAAGTTGCAGTTACCAGTTGAAGTTACTGTCGAAATGTTGTGTAAGACCATCTAATCTCTTCTTAACGCTATCTTTGCTGAAACATTACTCAACTTAGCAGATGTATGTGTAACTGTGATTTATTTACACTCAAGTCAAACCTTATTCCAGTTTCTCTCCTTTAGCATAAACCAAAATCGCCATGACATTTATATCTTTGCACAAATCCTCCATACTCATAGAGTGTGCATCGATACAGCCATTCAAAGATGAACTCATCAATCTCACGAGTGAGTGGGTGGTCACTGCTGTACTCCAGCGGGGCAGAGGGACTCGCCAGATTGAGTTAGAGGACGCTGAAATGTGTGCCGGGCGGCTCAAGGCCTCCAGCTTTATGAGGAACAATCCTCCAGTTCCACTCAAGTGGCAAAAACACCATTAGTGCTCTCCACCAGGGAACAAATGATAGCACGAGCGGATTACAATGCCATTGTGCGTGTGTGAGTGAGTAGACGATGAGGGTTTACTATCTAGCCGTAAGCCACAATGAGACAGACTGCTTACCTGCTCATACTTTGCTGCCTTTTGGATATCGTTGAACAAGCGGAGATTCAGACGTGCTTTCTCCTGCAGAACATGCTGAAGCTCACTCTCCTGTCAACACACACACACACACACACAACACAGAAAGGTTAGATTCTCAGTTTTGTGGTACACATTTTTAAACACGCTTGAGTCTAGCAGAAGTACTCACAGGCACACACTGATAAACACACGTTTAGACGGCAGGGTGTATTCCTGGTAAGAGCAGAGAGTTTCTAACACAGCTAGTGTTAGTCAATGCATTATTCATTTTGAGGAGAGCGAGACAGGGAGAGAGTGAGTGAGTGAAGACAGTAAGACAGAGAGAGAGAGAGAGACGTTGCAGCCCATCTGTCTTAGCCAGACTGACACTGAGGGTTTGAACTACAATACAGAGATCAGTAGTCAACAGAAATCATGCTGTCTCCACACAACACGTCTAGAATAGTCTACATAGACAAGGAGAAAAAGAACGAGAGAGAGTCCATCACTAAATCAGCATGGCCTAAGTGACATCAATGGAAAAGAAAAGTTGTTTCAGAGGAAGAGGAAATTATTACATTTTGATGCACTATTATTAAGATATTTTTATCCTGTGGAATAAAATGCTCCAATGAACTGTTCACAGTAAGTGCATATTGACTTCAGTTAAAGCTACCTTTGTCATTTATTCCTTTGTGATAAATGTATAAATGTTTGATTTATTGTAAATACATTTTGAAAAAAAAATGTAAAACATTTTTTTTTAAAAATATCTTATTTAGCAAGGATACATTAAACTGATCAACTGATCTATCTATCTATCTATCTACACACACACATATATACATTTTGTATTCATAACAGAATCCAGAATTTTTTTTACAACTGTTTCTTGAGCAGCAGATCAGCATATTAGAATAATTTCTGAAGGATCATGTGACACTGAAGACTGGAATAATGGCTACTGAACATTCAATTTTGCCATCACAGGAATAAATTACATTTATATGTTAAATAGCAAACATTTATTTTAAATCACAACAATACTACTTTTGTTAATGTGTTATTGATTAGATTGACAACCTTGGTGGACGTTACACTATTCTTTCAATATATATATTTACAATTATTTTGGAATTTTATGTATTTTACTGCCAAACAATTATTTTAAATCACACGAATACTACTTTTGTTATTTTTTTTTTAATAAATAAAAATACTGAATAATAAATATTTTATTTAAAACATTTAAAAAATCATGGACCTATGGAATTTAATGTATTTTACTACAATTTAATTTAATTTTGATTTGTTTTATTTGTTTATATTCTTCCCATTATCATATTTTACTATTATTTCACAGATTTTGCATTGTATTGTCATACCAATGAAGCACACTAAACTGAAATCAAAATATAATTGAGAGAGACGAGACAGAGAGAGGAAGCAAGCCTGAGAAGTACAAGAAAGTAATGCTGATGAGGCACTACCCAAGAGAGGAGAGTAGCACACAGCACATTAGACAGCATGCTGGTTTTTATGATTGAATCATCTGTACACCTTTAAATAGCTCTGTATAATTAGGTTAACTTCTCAAATGATTGGTTAATCTTGAATGCTGCAGGAAATTTGCATATGCCCCCTAACCAAACCCCCATCCTATACAGCTTAAAGGAACACTCCACTATTTTTGAAAATAGGCTCATTTTCCAACTCCCCTAGAGTTAAACATTTGAGTTTTACCATTTTCGAATCCATTCAGCTGATCTCCGGGTCTGGTGGTAGCACTTTTAGCTTAGCTTAGCATAGATCATTGAATCTGATTAGACCGTTAGCATCTCGCTCAAAAAAGACCAAAGAGTTTCTATATTTTTCCTATTTAAAACGTGACTCTTCTGTAGTTACATCGTGTACTAAGACCGACGGAAAATGAAAAGTTGCGATTTTCTAGGCCGATATGGCTAGGAACTATACTCTCATTCCGGTGTAATAATCACGATGTTACACGATGTAACTACAGAAGAGTCAAGTTTTAAATAGGAAAAATATAGAAACTCTTTGGTCATTTTTGAGTGAGATGCTAACGGTCTAATCAGATTCAATGATCTATGCTAAGCTAAGCTAAAAGTGCTACCACCAGACCCGGAGATCAGCTGAATGGATTCGAAAACAGTAAAACTCAACTGTTTAACTCTAGGGGAGTTGGAAAATGAGCCTATTTTCAAAAATATTGGAGTGTTCCTTTAAGATTCTCCCCTCACTGCAAGACAAAAACTTAATTACACTCCAACAACATCCACGTGGTATGGTGCTATAGCATCACTTACTCATATTATCTCCAGGCAAGAGCCACAAATGTGAGTATTCATGTGTTCACGTGCGCATCTCTCTGTGTGTGGCCTCAGATATGCCGGGGCATTTAAGGAGCATGAAAATATTGACATCCTGGTTTCTCCTCTAAAGAGGAAAAATGTATTGTTCATAGTGGAAATTCCCAACCACATATCCCAGAATATGATGGGTTTTTCTTTCTATTAACAGACTGTAAATCTTCTACTTCAATGAAGCCGGATACAGTAACAATGTTATTAAAAGAGCAAAAAAGAAATAAATAAATAAAATGATTAAAATGTTAGTAACTTTCCTTCATACAAGCACACATACATACACATCCACTTATAACAGAACTAAGATCACCTCCATTTCTCTCCATTCACTCTCATAGAAAGGCCATTGTCATTTCAACTAGCGTCAATTCACTGTAGTCACTTCCAATCTCTCCTGAGCTGCACATGATTGCATTGACAGCCCGCTCTTTGAACATCGATCCAAAAAACTCTGAATGGATGATAGACTAAGCCTCGAGTGACCCAGTGTAGAGGAGAGAGAGAGAACGAGACATTTGATTGTTTCTTGATGATTACAGATTAGACACATATAAACTTGATTCACATCGAATGTGTAACACTAACAAATTGCATGAATCAGCCCAGGAGACTCAGCGCTGTTTCTGCAGCACCATCATTTGCATGAGATGCAAAAAAAAAAAAAAAAAACCCAAATGAAAAAAAGAGAGGGATGCCACGAGGGAGGTCATTACAAAAACATTCTACTCATTCTGCTGGAAGAGCCTGCTAATAATGTATTAGAGGTGAAGCATCCACTAATTACACACACACACACGTCTGGTTTGCTATCCTTGTGGGGATTCTCCATAGGCGTAATGGTTTTTCTACTGTACAGACCGTATATTCTATTGCCCTACACCAAGCCTACCCCTAAACCTACCCCTCACAGGAAACTTTGTGCATTTTTAGAGTTTCAAAAAACTTCATTCTGTGTGAATTATTAGCTTGCTTACCCGTGGGGACCCCATGAGTCTGTGTGTATTCAGGTATAAGTCCCCACCGGAATAGAAACACAGGTACACACACACACACACACACACACACACGTATCTGGAACCCTCTGCTCTAGAACATTTTTTAACTAAGTTCAGAACAACATACTAAACATACTACTGTAATATTCACGTATGTGCTTGCCTGTATTAAATTTTGTATTGCATAAAGAACAGTAAGAACAGTAAGAAGTG